TTTAATAAAAATTTAAATTGTATCATAGTAGCTAATTACAGTAATCCTAACTAGTGACACAAATCATAACATTTAAGTTTAGTGCGAAATTAAAGTTTTAAATAAACATAGATAACATTAAATGCCTTGTTTATGTTTAGTTCATTGTTATCAGCCATGGCTTACCACACTCTGAATTTTGGTTTAGGCCAGTCACTTTTTTCCCCCCAATCCATTTGAAATATCTTCATTTCCAGACAGCAATCCTTATCAACGAGTGCAATAAATCCCAAACTGTATTCTGTGAGTTAGTAATAAGTATCGCAAAGACATCTCTTATAGTCAAATAATGTAGGACATTGAGGTATAAATAGATTTCTTCACCTCAAAGCATTGGAGAGCTGTTAACATATAATACATGTTGAGATGCTTTAAGACTATATATCTGTGAATGCACCAGTTCCCGAACTTATTTGAGCACAGAACACTGAGGATGGGGTGGGAGGTGGGGGTGAGGCTGGGGCGAGAGTGGAGTGAGGAACACATTTCATGGACTAGGGTTTTATGGAATAACTTCTGTGATATTTTAATCTAGAAGCTTCATTCAGTTTTGGCTCTTTTCTCTTATGACAAAAGATCTCTGATGTGTGTGGGTTTGTGTGTGTGTGTGTGTGTGTGTGTTTACATGCAATAAACCTTAATATTTCAAGAAAAATAATCTTAAATATAATAATGTTACAGGCAATAAACAATATCTCAAGAAAATTGATTTCAAATATAATGTTACATGCAATAAACAGCAATTATTCAAGAAAAATGATCTTACATATAATATTATCTGCAATAAACATTAATATTTCAATAATAAAAGGATTTTAAGTATAATAATATTACCAAAACTGTACTAACATAGAATGATACCACAAAAATTACAGTAAATATTAAAAATCTGCAAATAATAGGATTACTTCTATTATATTCTAGAATATTTTTCCCCCTCTGGCTCTATTTTTGTTCGTCAGTTTATGTTGTTCATTAAATTCCACAAATGAGAGAGATCATATGATATTTATCTTTCTCCGACTGGCTTATTTCACTTAGCATGCTGTTTTTAAAGCCTATTTTGTCGGACATGAGTACTGCTACTCCAGCTTTTTTTCTTTTCCATTTGTATGGAAAATTTTTTCCTCAACTTTCATCCTGTGTATGTCATTTGCTTTGAGGTGAGTCTGTTATAGACAGCATATAGTTGGGTCATGTTTTTGTATCTATTCAGCTACCCTACACCTTTTGATTAGAGCATTTAATCCACTTACTTTTAGGGTTATTATTGAGAGGTACGTATTTACTAGTATAGCCATTTTAATTCTGAATGGCTAGGTTTCTTTCTCAGTTTTTTCTTCGCAGCAATCCCTTACAGCAATCTCTTTAGCATTTTTTATGGTGCTGGCTTGGTGGTGATGAACTCCTTTAGCCTTTTTTTGGTCTGGGAAGCTCTTTATTTGACCGTCTATTTTGAATGATAGCTTTGCTGGATTTAGTAATCTTGGTTTCAGATCCTTTCT